CGTGTGGGGCCATCTCCTATCCTGCTCCTCTTTCTTAACTAGGGGTCTGTAGTAGTTTGGGCTAGGATGTCTTCTTGCCCCTACCCCAGCGCTAGAGGCTATTTATGTGTTCTCTTCTCCCTTCTGCAATGGGTCTTAACCTTCACTGGGGGGCAAGAAGGTTTGCTGCTGTTTTCTAGAAAATTAAGGTTTTTTTGTTGCTGAGATGAGATAAAAGTGGGGGCTTTTTTGTACTGGTGCTGTTGCATCACAAGAGAGACTTTATCTGGACCCGTAGTTCTCAACAGCAGTTCTGTGGACATTTTGGGCTGGGTAATAATGCTTTGTGGTAAGATGCTTTGTAGTATGTACTGCAGGAATTTAGCAGTATTCCTAGCAGCCTCCAGATATGACAATAAAAAATGTGTCCAGACATTGCCAAATATCCTCTTGGTGGCGGTGTGCTTGCTCCCCACTTAGAACCACTGTTCTGACCTCTCACCTTGCTACCAGTCTTTCTTCTGAGAAGGCAGGATGCCCATGGAGAAGAGGCTGTGAATGGTTGTGAGGTCCTCTTGTGTTTGAAGATCCTCCAAGTTCTATAATCTCATATTAGGTCATATTCAGACTTTAGAAATTTGTTAACAATTTTTAAGTGAATTCTCCTCACTGGCTTCTAAGGGGTCTCATGTCTGCTCTGTAACCAAGGGCCTTTGCATCTACATTCTCCTTAGAGACACCTGTCTTTCTCTAGATAATGAGTTAAGTGGTTATGCCATGACTTCAGCTTTCTGGTGGGTTTAATAAATGTTGTGAATCATCAGATAATTCAGGGTATTTTTTTGCTTTATGTTTGGGAACACCACCCTTTCCAGCTTTCTATATATACCCTTAGTGGAAATCGGAGGTCTGACATATGTAATTTCAAAATTTTCTCAACCATTATGCAGACGATTTGGAAACTTTTAGAGGTTGAGGAACTTCCCTGTGTGCAAGAAATTTGAACCCCTGCCTTTCTAGCAGTAAGCACAAGTTCATTCCACACTATTATTCTGACTTAATTTAAAGTGATAGTGTGTTTAGTTAGGTTTAACTAGTGACTCTTCAAGGCAATTTCTACATTCCCTTTAAAATTTATTCTCTAGTATAGATTTAGATTACAGTGCAGAAAACTACTGATCAAGATGAGGGAGGAGTGGGTGAGCAGTTTGTTACTGTGGGTGTCAGGCATCCTCTCATCTCTCTCCCAGAGGTTTCAAATTCAGATGCCTGTAGGGGCCAGACCAGAAATACGTATGAGCGAAATGTGCAGGGTCTGTGTTCACTCTCCTTTTCCTTGACATGCATGGCCCTACTTTTTATAGTGGCAGGGATCCAGAGAACTATTTCTTTATAAGAACAGCAGTGCAAGCACAATGGTATGTGGGTACTGTTTCCCTCTCTCTCTGCCTAAGGACTGGCAGAATTTATTTGACCTGCACAAAATTTTTTTTTAATTGAGACACATTTCATGACAGTTTCTGGGCATGCATATTGTTTTAACACTACCTGTTAAAGTTACCTGTCTTCCCCTAAGGTCATTTCATTCAACATTAAATATTTATCAAACACCCACTACCTGCCAGGTTCTGAGGATGCAGCAATGAATTAAACAAGCCCTGCCCTTATGGAGCTTACCTTTTGGTTTGCAGTCTGCGATGGGAAGAGTGGGAAATGTAGATAAGGCGAGTCTTACCTAAAGAGCATGCTGCCATCTCTTACCATGGATGTCAACCTTATGTGGCCAAGTCTTCAAATTTTCTAAAAGGTGTCAGAAATCAGATTTTTACTGCCATTCCCTTATTTTTAAGTATTAGCTCAATATGTTTTAAATCATTGTGGAGGTCACACAAAACACGTTTGCAGGCAGAATCTGGCTTGCGACCTCTGTCTCACACTATCTTTGCCCTTGCTGGTCTGCTTGAGAAGAAAAATGCAATGGAATGACAGCTGTAGCCATGTTAATTCCCTTCTCTGGAAGCAATGAACCAGTTGTCAGAGATTTGGCAATTTCAGGATTTAATTTGCAATACAAGGTCAACAATTTCAGTGAGAGCCATTTAAAAACCAGCCTTAAAACAAACAAACCAAAGAAAACCTGACTGTACAAATTAGCGGGTGATTATTAACCTGCGCTCAACATTATGTTGTCCACAGGTTACCTGCCAGCAGGCTATATTGCAATTATCAACTGGCCTGGAGGTTTGAGACAGGTTTTTAAAACCTGATTCAACTGTAGGCCACGTACATTTCAACAGATATGCTACACTGTGGTCCAAATTTGCAGCCATATGAGAATTTTGTAATGGTACCCATTAGTTCATTAAATCTAGTGTTCCTAAAAAGCCAAAACCAAGATTTTGGGCAAATTTGTAGCATTTATAACAGTTATTTTCCTTTTCTCTTGAAAAGAAAGCTTCTGTGGACCTTCTTGACAATGTGGCTTACACTGTCGTACAGGGAGTTTAGCAAATATATAAGAGCTCTGGTTGGCTCCATATTTTGCTAGTTACACAAGACAGAGTTTTTTTTAGGAGGTGTGGTAGCCGCTCATCAATCTCTAACTTGCTGAAATTATTATTTACGGACAGATTCTACTTGTTCTATGAACGGATTCTCATTCTCACTGTCATTCTGTGCTCAGTTTTCTTCCATCTATCTTTTTCTATTTGACTCCTAATTTTGCCCGTTCCTCAAAGTTCACTCTGCTGCCTGTACATCGATTCAGCATCTCTGGGCTCTGGAACTTGTCTCGCGCCTGTTATTTTCTCCATCCACCCCGTGCCGCTGCTCTTTGCAGTTGAAGGGTTGTTTTTGACCTTTAAAAAATTCTTTCCCACTTTGGAAGTCTTTGAATTAAATCCCAGGGATCGCACTGGGCATGCTCATGCATGTATCAATATTTAGATCAGAAGAAACACCTTGGCCATATCTGTTTACACGCCACAGCTAGGTCACACGATTGCGGATATTTCTCTGCCTCAAGGTGGGCTGACAGTTCTTCACTGCCTTTGCTCTATATACCGTCTCCAGATCGTAAGGGATCTGACTGCCAAATTCCAGCTCATAGGAATGTGGAGAATGAGATTTTTAATTGCAAATAAGGCCTGATTTAAGCTCCCTGAAATTCCAAAGCACAGAAGACTCTAGTCTATGGCTTTTGAGCATGAGACTGGGGAATATGCAGATTTACTTCTCTAGCGATACCTGCTTTTTAAATGATACATCACTTGGTTCTATTTAACCACTTTCTAAATTATATCAGATAGTGAAGGAATATTGATCTTATTTCACAATTGTACTGATTCATAATGTACTAATATTGCATCCTGAATATTTCTGCATAAAGATGACTAGAATGCAGCCTTCTGTGAAGGGATAAGAAATGGTGTGCCTTATTGAAAGTTTCCTGAACATTATATTGATGTAATAGAGTCACCCTATGCTTCTTGGCTTCTATATTTTGGATGATATGTCTGTAAAGTAAATTTATGATGACAATAACATGAGCATCTTTACAAATTACAAACATTTTAAAGATGAGCATTAACCATTAGGATAATATGAAATTCAAGGAAGCCAAAGCAAACAGATTCCCACTCCACATATATTTTCAGAAATACATGCTTTTGAATTACTCGTCAGTCACTGTGCAATGGAAAGAAACAAGCAAGTCAAACTGCAATTTCTGCTAATTGGGTAAGATTTTCTAATTTTGATGTAGATTATCTTCTTTGAAATAATTTTATACATATTTCCTTTATTTTAGGAAGGAATGTAACCAACATAACCTTTAAAAATTTTACGTTACTCTTATAAAAAATTAAGAGCTTTTAAATTAACATTAGGACTAAATCTTTCATTTTTCAACATTGATAGCCATTTAAAAGCTCACATGCACTTTGTGAAGTGACTTTTTTAAAACTATGAGAACGCCAAATTAAAAAAGTAACATGTTTCATTCACACATAACATTAGGACTAAATCTTTCATTTTTCAACATTGATAGCCATTTAAAAGCTCACATGCACTTTGTGAAGTGACTTTTTTAAAACTATGAGAACGCCAAATTAAAAAAGTAACATGTTTCATTCACACATGATGAGCTTTGTTTTACTGCCAAATACTGATAACCACTTTAAAAGGTGAATTACAAGTTGGAAAGGCTTCTTTGGTGAATGTTTGTAATAATCTAATAAATGCTGGGACTACTGTTCATTTTAAAAATCATCTTTATATTTAAAGATGATAGCCATATGCTATCATCTGGCCCCAAACCGTTCCAGTTTAGTATTTTTATAAATCGACATAATAACAAATGGAGTAGCTTGCAGATTGAGTTTGGTAATTTATTGAGTGACCCTTGTGAGTCTTAAAAGTGCTAAAAACACACTTCCTTTATTAGAATGTGTGTATTCCATATTTTTTGCTGGTTTTAATGTGCTTGGTTCCTAAGTACACATTTAATCTGCTTGGTCCCTAACTACATATTTATCATAGACTTCATCAGGTATTATCTATTTATGACAGTTACAACACTGGATCCCAATTTTTGAAAAGATAAATATAGCACAACTACTTAAGGCATGCAACTGTAAGTGTTCATAGCTTCAATGCAATCTGAGTTAGTCATCGCTTTACATAAAAACAGGAAGTTTAGGCTGTTTATATCAAGTCTGAATTTTTCTAGACATCACCTTTGTAAAACATTTTGTGAATTTTCACTGGTTCTCAGTTGATTAGGAGTTTGGTTAAACAAATAAGAACATCAGCAATAAAAACAAGACACCAAGTCAAATTCTGTTGACTTTATACTGAAGGTTTTGGGGACCATTAAATAACATCATAGCACTTATTCTCGAACCCTGAATTGCTTAATATATCATATCATCAGACCAATTTATTCTGGTTTTTAAATATTTTTCTTTTTTAGAGGAACTTGATTTAAATCTGTGCATCACCACTGGCAAGGAGCTGAGAACATGGATAGGGAGGTAAGACTGATCTAACAGTAGCTCCCACTTTAATTTCTTTCCTTTAAAAGCAGCTTTATTTTTCATAATATTACCCATGGACAGAAAGTACAGAAGTGAGAATAAAGTTAGCCTCCTTGGGAGCACTCACGAGTAAAGAGGGTGATTAACGAGTGTAGCAGACAATGTAATAGCAAAAGAGAGTCTATAGAAGTCAAACAAAGGTGCCTTCAGAATTTCCAAGGATTCCCATGATCCATAGTAGGACCTCACTGTGCCCGTCCACTGTTTCTATTTTTGATTAGATTTATAAACACAGCACCACATATTTTCATGTGTCTTATCGCCCAGGGGCAGAATGAGATTGACTGCACTGAAACTGTGAGGCTTGTGAGTTTTGGGCAAGGGCTGCGGTGAAATGAGTAGTGTAATTGTTTTTGTGGAGTGACCGTGGGACCCCCTCTGTTCTGAATTCCACACAGCTCAACCCTTTGACCTGACCAGACTTGGCAATGGCTGCCAGAGCTCCTGAGGCTATGCTGAAAGGGTCCATCACCAACTAGTGGGAACGTTATCTGTCAGGCGAAATGTGGGCCAATGACCATAGTAAACTATAGAAATTACTAGTGAGGCCATGTTTGTGAGCACCTCAGCTTTATTTAACCCAGCATCATATCAGTTGTTTCCACAGAAAGTGCCAATGTGAGGAATTTTTGGAATCCAAATGGAGCACGGATCCTTTGATTAGCAAAACATGTATTTTTGTTTTCTTGTGTATATATATTTAGTTTACTAATTTTTGAATCATCTTCAAGGATGTTTTGGCAAATTATCTAAATATTATTATGACTTTTTTTAGGTACCTATACAGTTTGGGAACATGTTATAAACCATGAATAAACTTCTTTCATTGCAGTGAGTTTAACTTAAATTCCTTAAAAATAGATGATAGCCCACTGATATAATTCCTCAAAGGAATCAAAGCTAAGGGGGACGCAGAGAACTTGTAGAAAAGGTGGGAGGGAATCATATGTGCTGACATTTTTGCATTAGTGGAGAATTTATTCTGTGAGTCACAGGATGATGTGTTACATAACCCTGTCTATATCTATCTGCATATGATTTTGAAGTCATCCCTTTGAACTTTTATTTTCCATTCAGTTAATTAAATTTTTGAAGGCAGTATAATAAGCAGAGAACTTTGGTTTACTTTGAGGCGAACTAGTCCTGTTTCTGAAACACATCTAAAAACTTGTTACACTTTGTTTCTCATGGCTAGTTTTTTTCATGGCCAACTTTACAAATACAGATAGGTATTGTATGCTTACAACAACTTGGAAATAAGTTAGCATTCAAACTTTTTATTTCACATCAGAGGCAATTCAGACAGTATTAATTTGATTCTTAGTTACATGACATTTAAAAATGTACTTAAAGAACACACAATTTTAAGTATTTAAAAAATTATTTTTAAATTTACTCTAGGGATTATTAAAACATGAGAATAGGGAGGTCCCTATCAGATAATTTATAAAAGAAAAAACCGCTAAAGTAGCCTGTAAGTCCCCCCCCAAAAAACTGCATTCAGCCATGCCTACTCTTATTCTCATTAGCAGTTAAGAGGTTGCTCTCCACATAATCTGACATGGAATGCCTAGAGCAGACAGGTGCAAATTGCAAGCTGTTTCATTTTGGCTGTTATCCCTTAAATAGACGGTGAGGGGTGGGGGACAAAAAAGTTTCCTCCTCAAGGTGCATAAATGAAAGTCTTAACAGGGCCACACCAGCTGGCTAGGAGGATTCAATGCACTGAACACTAAATATCACCTGTATGCCACTTGCCAAGCAAAACAGCTTCAGTAACACCTCTTGCTTTTTATTACAGAGATGATGTTTCTTCAAAACCATATTTTGCTTTATTATGAAGGCGACATTATGGCCAAAGTGGGTGAGAACAGAAGCCAACATACCTGTTCCTATTTACCATCATTACACTCCGCGGAGTGATTCAGGCATGATTAGGTTTCTGGAGGTGGACCAGACTGACAGTATTTCTGTCCATGTCTTTTTTGTGTGCTGCTGATTCAAGCAAAGCCTCAGAGCAGTGAAACCACACAACAGCCACCACTTACCCGCTCTCCTCTACACGATGAATCTGCTGAGCTAGTCTGCTGAGAAAAAAGACAGCTGTTGGTGTTAGGAACACCTACATTAATTTCACGGAGGAGATATGCCACGCCGGTATGTGTAGGAATCTAAGCCATGCGTCCCTGACTCTCCTTGCGACTTCCCGGGTGAGCACTGGAACTGCTGTCTGGGAGATGCACAATTCCCTTCTCCGAGGCCACGCCTGGGTCTGAGTGTGTGCACGCGCGGGGAGGGGGGCAACTCCCGGCCAAGGCGAAAACCGGCAGACACAAATGAGGCCTGACCGTTTCACGCAGTGCAATCGGGTGATCCCCGATGCGAGCTGACTGCCCTGAACTGAGCGGTGATCTGTGCAGGATGC